AGTTATTCTTTGAATTCAGTGGGTTCTTTTTAGTTTCTTCTAGCAGTGTTCTGTGTTGGTTACATAATCTTTTGTCAACTTATGAAGCGGTGAGGATTAGCCTGTCAATCAGGTTGCAGCTTGATGACCTCATTTGGAGGCGCATCAGAGATAAATAGCTCACCAGAGGCCAAATATATTCACTCCCTGTGAGACATTCCTGTTGACAAGACACATTGAGGCCTGGAGCTGAAGGAGCCACATGGAGACTCCTGCCAGCACTGAAATGCTTCCATTGCCACTGGATCCACAAGACTTTCCACCCACTAGCCTGTGATCTTCCTGCATTCTGTGTCAATGAATGTGCTGTGTGAGTCTGAAGAGGACTTTATAGATTGGTATCAGACATATGGGCTAATATTGGACTTATGGACTTTATCTAGACTGGGCTGGGATGTTTTCTTAATGTGCAATTACTTTGATAGAAAGTTCTGTCTTACACACATATGAGAGTCTCTGGATTTGTTTCTCTAGTCTATCTGGACTAACACATCTCATAGTTTTCTTTATTTGATATTGTTTGCTAGGTTATAAAAATATGATTGGTATTCATATGTATCTAGTTTTATATATTTGCTCAACCCACATATTCTTTACTAGGAAGAGCTTTTGTTTTGTTTTTCTTTATAATAACTTGGAATGTTTTATGTCGATTATCATGCAACTTTCAAATAGGGGCAGTTTTTGTTTTGTTTTGTTTTCCCTTCTAATCTGTATTTCAAGGAACACTGGTCATCCAGTGGTAAAAGCGCTGGGCTGTTGATTGGAAAGTTAGTCATTTCAACCAACTGATCACTCCAAGGGAGGTTATGGTAGTCTGCTTTTCAAAGGCTACAGCCTGGGGCAACCTATGGGGAAGTTTTCCTCTATCCTATAAGATTACAATGAGTTGAAATCAACTAGCAATGTGTGAATCTGTCTTCCTTTTGTTTCATTTTCTTAATTTTTTGTTGTGACTAGCATTTCCGGCAATAATATGTTGAATAACAGGGGTAACAATGGACATTCTTGCCTTGTTCCTCATGGTAAGGGTGTGCATTAAGTCGGTTACTACCTAGTATAATTGAGCTGATGGATCTTTGCAGATACTTTTTATTAAGTTGAACAGGTTCCCCTCAAAATTTTAATTTTCTTTGAGAGGCTTAAAGCAATTAATCATAAATGTGTGTTGAATTTTGTCTAATAGTTTTTCTCTATCAGTTGACATGACTAAGTGTTTTTTCTTCCTTATCTTGTTAATATGGAAGGTTACATTCATTTTGAAATATGGAACAAATTTTGACTATCTTGAGTAAGCTGTATTTATCATCATGTATTCTTTGCATATATTACTAAATTCTATCTGTTAATATTTTGTCACAGCTTTTAAAATCTTTTCATGAGAGCTATTGCTCTCCATTTGAATTAATTAACCAATTTACTGCCTGTATGTGACTTTGGTATTCTGGTAATACTAACTTCATAAAATGCATTTTAGAATGATAACTTGTTTTCTATGCTTCTGTTAAATATTGTGTACAGTTGTTAATTTTTCTTTAGATATTTGGTAAAATTCTCTGATAAAACCATCTGGGTTTGGAGATTTGTTTAATCACTTTTGTCTTTTGAATGTAAAATAACATCAAATTTCCTTATGTGTCATAAAGGAAACCAGAAGGATTTCATTTTTCATCTAAAATTTTATGGCAACTGGAATTTTTATGAAAATATAGAGGTGGAGTCCAACCTGTGAATCAGCTCACAGCTGGATGACGCCTCCTTGGGGTGTGGACTTCATATCAGCAGGGAAGTGGGGAACCTCTCTGTCTGCCATTTTGTCTTCCTGCTTGCTGGGACTCTGCCTCCAGAGGTGGCCCCATGTTGGACACTTGACCCTGAGAACTGTAGGTGCCCTGACGTCTTTCTACTGACCTTGGATCCACATTACTCAGCACCCATCTACCTGTGATCTTCCTGTTTCACCTCTCTGAGTCACCAGCCTGCAGCTGCATGAGTCTGAAGAGGACTTTGACTTGCATCAGATTTGCAAACTTGAGTTGGACTGGGCTGGGGTGCCTTCTTTTGATATAAGATACCCTGTTGATATAAAACTCGTTCCTATACATATATGAGTGTCACTGGATTTATTTCATTAGACAACTTGGCCTAACACAATGAGTTGTGATAGTTGGGTTTTTCGAAGAATGTGTCCATTCCATTCAATACATTAAACTTGTGCATATAGAGGTGTATGTAGCATGCTCGTGTTATCCTTTTTATGTCTGCTAGATCTTTAATGATACCGACTATATCATTGCTGATACTTCTCACTTATTTTCTTAGAGTCAGGTTTGATAAAGTTTAACCCAATTTATTGATTTTAAAAGAAACAATAACAAAAACAGTCTTTTTTCTTTAATTTTCTCTATCCTTTTGGTCTTTGCTAGAGCGTGCAGCTCCTTTGAGACTTCCTTCACCACGCTCATTGCTTGAGCTTGAAGCTGGTAGATCCTGTCACTGTGCATGAGTTCGAGGGCCCATGGGGGCCTGCTTCGCTAAGCTCCTGAGCTACTGTCTGTTGCTGACCTATCCTACTTTCTACTGTCTGTGGGCACTCTTTGCCTGCCTCGCCTGAGGAAAGACTCTGCTCTCTGCTTCCTTGACCTTGGACCCAGCAGCTCACAGGAGTTGAAGGACTTCCAGTACATTAACTGTTCCATGGAAGCGAATTGAACTGAGTCCTCTGTACTGCTGTGTGGACTAATTAGCTGTTATGCTCCTTCTTTCTGTATAAACCTATCCTTTTATATGTATGTAATCATAAGTGCCCTGGTTTCGGTTCTCTAGAGAACCATGCCTAACACAATTGACTATAGATTTTTCCTCTATTTTAATATAAGATTTGGGTTTTACACTGCCCACCCTCTAGCATTGTTTTAACTGTGTCCTAGAAAATTTAATATGTAGTCTTTTTACTTTTATTCATTTGTTTCTTTCCTTTTAATTTATCTGGAGACTTATTTTATGACCCATAAGTCACTCAGAAGCAGAATCTTTAGTTTCTATGTATTTGGAGAATTTCTTGTTAGCTTTGTTTTACTGGGTTTTAATTATAGATCATAAACTATATGGTTTAAATTTAAATCAAACTGTTGAGGCTTGTGTTATTGTATAAGTTGTTTTCTATTTGGTGTCTAAAGTTTTATGTCTTTTGTCAAATTTTACAAGTTTGGGTTTATTATATCATTGAATATTTTTCATTCTCTATCATACCTCCTCTCCTTTCAAAGATCCCCAGTGAAGTGAATATGAGGGTTTTTGTTATACTCCACATACCTCTGGAGCTCTACTCATTTTTCCCCAGTCTGTATTTTCTTAATTGTTCAGACTAAGTAATTTCTATTTTCTATTTCACTGATTTTTTTCTTTGTCCCCTTCCAGCCTATAATTGAGTCTAGTTAATTAGATTTTAAACAATTCACTTAATGTATTTTTAGTTCTAAAATCTCTGATTTTTCCCTTCTAACATCTGTTTCTTTACTTAGACTATCTCTTTTCTGAAACTCTCTAGTATTTATTTTGCTTCAAGCATGTTCCATAATTGCTCATAGGGATTATTTTTATATTATTTTAGAATATTTATCAGGCATTTCTATCCTACCTGTCATCTTAATCAACATCAAATGCCTCTTTTTCACTCAGGTTGAGATCTTCCTCTTGGTATTGGGAATTTTTTTGGCAGAAACCTTGGCATTTCAAGATTTAAATCCCACATCTCCAAGTCTTATTTAAGCCCCATGCATTAACTTCCCTTTGATATTATTGTGCCGGGAATTAACGTAGAAGTCCAGTTCCTCATTGGGCCTCCATGGACACCAAATGAGATGACTTCTCTTTACTGTTGACTGGAGATGGGTACCATCTTCACCCCACTTGCTACTATGCCCCATGTGGAGTCTGCTGGTACAGCAGAGAGGAGTGGCCTTGTCGCTGCTGGAAAAGAGTGAAAATTCTGCCTCTCAGCTAAGCCCCCCTCTGACATCACCTTAGGATTTGGTAGAGAAAAAATGAGTGCCTCTTATTACTTCCAAGTAGGACATGAAGTCTAGATTTTTATGTGATCTCCACCGAGTAGAGACTCCCAGTTTTTCTTCTCACATACTATCTCTAGGGGGTTCTGGTACACCTTGCTATACAGCATGGTGAGAAATAAAGTCAATGCTTCCTGCCTGCTCTTTCCTGGTGTCTTTCTGAATGGTATTTGGCTGGAAAAAGGCAGTTATCTAGAAGTTTACTGTCTTGTTAGTTGTTTCTTTCCTGAATCTCTAGCAGATGGTCTAGCTGTTTTGTTTTCATGTTTTAGCTGGTTCTCTTGGGATTTCTGCACGGTGTGCTCCTTCCACTACAAGATTGGGATATATGAGGCAACAGGAAAATCCAGGTACCTCACTCAGATTAGTAATTATATCAGGAAGTCCTTAGGCCATCTTCTCTATCTTATCTGTCTTTCAGAGTTCTATGCTTATATTATATATACTGTGCAAGATTTTTAGTCGTATATAGTGATAGAAATAGAGAAAGTATACTATACCATCTTGCAGACAACAACAGTCTAAAATCCTAATCCAATTGTCTCTTAAGAAGCACTTTGTCATTTATATAGGACCAGATGCATTGATGGCTACAAGCAATTGTGTCTGGCCTTTGGCTGAATGACCAAATGTATCATTCTTTTAGTTTGTATACATTTTGACATATATGAAGGGTCTTCAAAATGATAGGGGGGAAATATATTTTTTTAAAGATTCTTCTGAACACTTTTTGAAGCATCTGCATAGCCAGTAAGGAAATAAAAAAGCAAAATACAAACATGAACAACAAATCAATAGCAAAAATAAACGTATTGTAGCTTTATGAAACGGAGAGTAAATTTAAACTTAAATTTAAGTTAATGATATTTATAAGCATCTCAGATTTTTTTCCCCACTTAGACCACACACTCTCTCTCTCACCCTGCATGAGAGCAGAGAAGAGGGATCATCAAAGGCAAATGGCAGCTGCAATAAAGCAGCACCAGGAGCCAGCCTCACGCTCAGGAAAGAATGCTGTACCTCCTTCTTGTGTTTCCGGTGCTCTACAGGATCAGAGAGACTTCTCTAGTAATGAACTATAGAAATGATCCCTGAAAGTATAGTCTTAGCATCTCAGATTTTTATTGTATGTTTTGCTTTGATCTTTTCTTATCCAGCATTGAAAAAATAAGAAAATTTCTGTATGTAACTTTGGTTGAAGTTAGTCGTGCTTCATACCTTGATTAGGAGGTATGATTTAAACCATAGATTTGGTAATCATTTCCACTAAATACATTTTATTAGTTGCCTCAAACTGAGCAAATTTCAATGGATCTTTTAAAATTAGCTATTTTTTTTGAATGGTAACATTCAAGGTTAAATTCAATACTTAATAAGAATTGCAAATCAATTCCTGTGCAAACGTTTTTATTACATGTGGCTAAGTCTCATTGTTTTGTGCCCTCATTATTTTAAAATCAATAAAATTCCAGAGCTACCAAGTTGTATTAATGCTTTCTTCTAAAAAAATGGATGTGTTCTTTTAATTTGATATTTTGATTGAAGGACATTTGGATTTCATATATTTAAAAACAAAAACAAATTAGAGCTCTATGCAGGCTTCTCATCTCTCTCTCTTTTTCCTCCTCCTCTTTCTTGAGATAATGAATCAATTCCTACAACATTAACTATCGTGAACACATTACTGACGCTCAAACAATCATCCCTTTTCCTGGCATCCTTCCTTTTTGCTCTTATATAGTTTCAACTTACATTTGACACTTCCTCTTGGATCTACTGTCAAAAACCTAACCTTCGTGCCACCAAGTCATTTTTGGGGTCGTCCTGTAGTGACCCCAATAAAACATGTTCCAAACGGAACTTTTTGGCTCTAATGTATTCCATGTATTCCCCTTTATATTGATTCCCCTCTTGGAAACTGATGGCATCATCCCTGTAGTCTCTCAATTTGGAAACTTCAGTTATCTACGCTACATTTAAATCAACCCTGGGTTTCACAAGGTCACCTCCAATATCTTTTGAATTCAATCCTTCTTTCAGTACCATTCGCATGAATGTCATTTTTTTCTACACTAGAAATAATTTCCTAACTCAACATCCCATATAAAGCTACTTTCCAATTTAAATTTAGAAAAATATGTCCTCACTAGCAGCAAATCCCTACACTTACTATCTTGGATAAAACTGGTTCTAGTTTCCCAGTGAACACAAGGTGGATTTCTGTCTTCATTGCTGGTATTCTTTGTCAAGATATATCTTGCACTGTCCCTTCTTTGTAACCCATGAATGAACTCTTCCTTCCATCTCAAGGACGCATGGCCCATGAGTAAGTCTTTGTACATGCTTTGCTCGTGCCCTGGAATACTTTTACTCTCAATGTGCTGCTCATATTTCACGATTAAACTAAAATGTGATATCTTCCCCTGAATTCCTCAGCCATTCTTTATCTGTGAAGTGCTAATACTCCTTTATACTACGTTTAGGCTTATATTTGATATTCAGTTATAAAATCTTGGATAGTCTGGATTGTATCTGATTAATAATGTGTCTTACCATCTTCAACAATGCTGAGCTCTTAGGAAGTACTGTG